TACCAGTAGTGCCAGAAATACCACAAGAGACCACTCCAGCTCCCCCAAAAAAGTGCTGGAATGGTGTTCTGGAATGTTCCAGCATGACGCGAACGCTGCTTCAAAACCTTCCAGCAGGGCTCTGCCCTCTTGGTTAAAGTCTCATGTCAGTTTTTATATCAAGTGAGAGTCAACCTTGAGTCGTCTCAGGCTGATATGTCATCCAATTTCACAGGCTTTGTTCCCCAGGCCTCCTGAAACAGGTAACACCACTCACTGTCACTTTCCCCAGAGAGCAACACTTGAAAGGGCTGGGTATCTGCATAAATGGCATTGGGACTCTGTCTTAATCTCTCCCCAGTGGTTCCAGATTCCAAAGGCAACCCACCCAGCAAGCCAGGAACACAAAGATACATATTGATACCGAAGTCTGTGAATAGCCCCCATAACCATAGCATCTGGCGAAGTCTTTGACATTGCCATGCTTTCTAGGTCTCATCTGTCACATCTTCCCCATCAGAAGAGAAAGAAATTAACTCCTTCGTCCTTCTGGGTGACAATACAAGATGAGAAAGGAAACTGAGTCACAAATTCTTTAATAAAAATAAACCTGAAGTTTCCCAGTTCTCTATAGATCAGACCTAATTGGAGATGAGTCTCTCTCTTATTTCTGATTCCGTAGCTCCCTGGAGAAGAGCGGTCCAAGTCAAAATCCTGACTAGGAACCCTCAAATCTTTGGTGGAATTTCACAAGCCAAAACTTGATCCCACTCCAATTTTGTCTATTCTTGAACCAAAACCACAATTCCAAACACCCCTGAACTTTAGGAGAGTTAAAAGTCTGGATCCAATTTCTGCAGCTCAGCCCCAACTTGGAATATTGTGGTGGTGTAACTTTGAATGATTGATTCTTCTTTGATGTTCTATGCGATGCTGCATATGTGTAACTGCATGCAGATGCCTGACATACCAGACCCTGAAGTGTTTGCATAACATTCATTCTGTACTAATGCTGCCATTTTTGTGTTATTTTTGCAGCAGGCTGCACACCCACAGGATTTCATTTCAGCCAGACACTGAGAATTTTCTCAAGATCCTCTTATTTTACCTTCCCGTGTGTAGCCAAGACATTTTTCCTCACAGCCTAATAGCTAGTCACAAGTCACACTGCTGAGTCCCTGGGAATTACAGGGTTGAAGCATCATCGTGTTTTGTGAACCCTCAACATGGATTTTCATTTTGGATCTTTGATTTGTCTTTGAAATAAGTAGCTGTGGTTTTGAAGTTTAAGCAGCTGGTAATATCTGTCACTATGAGATCCTAGTACAGTGTCCCCAGTGTTCCAAGGTTTGAACTTCATTTTGTAGTGATGAAAAGCCAGCTTGTCCTGTGATATCAAGCCCCAATCCAGCTTCTAGGCCTGTAAGCCAAGCTTTTAGCTTTGATGGTGCAAATCTGCAACCTCCACAAAGAGAATGAAATTTACACTCCTCTTCTCTAAAGAATTTTCACCAGGCTAAACCATTTTTGAACCCTTAAAAGTTCCCCATTCCAAGGAAACACAATTGCTTTCCCAACTACTTTATTTTCTGTTTGAAAAAGAAACATTTTGATTCTCTGTGTTTTTTTCCCCTGCTGCATTCTCACCCCTGGTCAGTTTTTAGTTTCCAAGTACCCTTAGATTTAAAAAAAAATTGATATACACATGTTATGCCTGGACCTTTGAAAGCTCCTCTCTGCTTCCTTGTGATATTGACGTAAGAATGATTGACCAAGTCAATATCAGAGGGGAAGTGTGGCGGGGGTGGGGGGGGGGGTGGTGTGGAGTCTTCTTCCAAGGAACTCATTCCTTTAAAATTGCACATAAAGGAGGGAATGTGTTGCAATGCAAATTGCGATTAGCAATTCATTGGACTTCTTTGCATGCAGCAGAAACCCATTGGCTGGGGTCTCATGAGGGGGGAGGTGTTATGTCAGGCTGGGGATTATTTCATGTAAATAGTGATCTGTAAATCAGGGAAGTTTCACACACAACTTTGCCCATGCTGTACTTTTGGAACAACAGAGTCAAAGCAATGTCTCTTGAAGGTTGTTTTTCTTTATGAGCTAATATTGCCAGGACTCAGAATGATTGCACGTGTATTGCACCCCTCAAAAAACCCTCACACAATGCAACAAACCCAAAAATACCCCCAACCAGAGCTTTTGCGGCTTTGCCCTAAAAAAGGAGGTGATCCAGAGACTCCACAGAGTCTGCTAGAGGCTTTGCTTTTGCTATTGATTTTATGTGGAACATGCTCAGATACTAGGTTGAGGGGCAGCAGTATAAAACCCATAGATTAGATTAGATTAGATTAGATTAGATAAAATAGAAACCTGAATAACACTGGTGGAGGAGGTTCCTCAGGACAGGAAGTGTCAGCATTGCCTTCCCTCTCCTTTACCTGGTTTGGTTATTCTTTTGCAAATAATTTATCTGCCATGTTTTTGTGTGTATAAAACATTCCTGGCTAATTTTGGTCTTTACTCAGCTGGCTCTACAGAGAGTTGAATAACGTTTGGAAAAAAGTGTATTTCATGAATTTTGCCCTTCAGTCTAATAGATCTGTGAATAAAGGTTGTCACTGTTCAACCAACTGCAAACTGTTTTTTGCTCCCACCTTCACGTGCCAATTTTGTTTGCCCAATTTCTAATGGCACCAGCCTACACGGTGGCCTTATCTACATTAGATTGTTAGCCTGGAATAGCTGATCCAGTTAGGGTGACCAGATGTCCCAATTTTATAGGGACAGTCCGGATATTTGGCTAGTGCATCGGAGTTCAAAGTGCTGTCCAGAGTGGTCACATTGGAGCCTTATATAGGTGCCTATTACCACCCACCCGTTGTCCCGATTTTTCACACTTCCTGTCTGGTCACCCTAGCTCCAGTGCAAACCCCTAATACAGACACAATTCACACTAGTGCAACCGGATTTGTGCTGATATGGTTTACCCTGATTTCAAACAGGATACGTCCCAGGGCTTGGAAACAGCAGGTACATGCCTGTATACACCATACATGCCCCCTGTTCTCCAGAATCTCAGCTGTCATGTAAAATAGAAAGCAAGTCTCTAGGGGTTATGATTGTAGAGAAACCCCTGAAAGACATGAACCGAGTGTAACTCATGCAGAGAGGTGTCTGCCCATTCATTTCAGGGAAGGGTTAACTCAGACGCACAGTGAGCATGATTTCAGTGCCAAAACTGTAACTATTTCATTGGTTGTTTGAGAAAAGGGGGTGGGGGTCACAAGTATCTGCACAATTTACTGTGGACCATGCCTTAAATGGGTGGCATTTGGAAGATATCAGCCCTTGTGATTTTCCCGCCAAAAAGGGGAAAGGCCAAGGAAGCAGACATTTGTTAGAAATGTGTCACCTTGGGGATTAGAGCAGCAACTTGTGCGGATTGGACTGCTAGGTTCTAATCCCAACACTAGCAGGAATTTGCTGTCTCATCTTGAGCAAGTTTCTTCGTCTCTCTTTGCCTCAGCTAGCCCCCTTGGAAAACTCAGCTTGCCTGCTAGGGGTTGTTGTGAGGCCCAGTCGTTAAGGTTTGTAACATGTATTGGGACCATAGACTGGAAGGCGCTAGAGATGGACAAAGTAACATGGCTAAATTATAAACTAAGCCTGTACCTTGGCTGCTGATAGAGCAGTAGAAGACCAGGGGCCTGCTCCTGCCCCCAGTGACTGAAACAGATGAACAAGCAGGCTGAAGAAAGGGTTTTCTTCCTGCATATCTTGCTGCAAATGGGTCTATGTCCAGGAAGGATGGAAGGCAGATGGTGACAAGATACTGTACATAGTGTATCAATTCCACTGACAAGCACTGTCCTTCCAGATATCAGTACCTGGGTGATGGCTGGCTGATTTCTTTGTCATTGTAAGGTCACCTTGGTACAGGGTCTTCTTTTGGGGGAATGATGGAAGAGACATTGATCAGGGTGGGCCACACAGGAGCAGCACCCCCTACAGCTATGGAATAGGGACAGTTACAGCAATGGAAGCGTCAGGAACCTAATCTGTCTTGTCTTCAGTTCTGCTGGACACCTGTCCAGGGTCTAAATTGCTACCCTATTCCTTTCACTGAGGAAGTGAGTGCCTGGCCCTTTAGTTGCTACACGGAGGAAGGTGCAAAGCCTCTCCCCACTTCCTCCTCCTGCAAAGACCATTCACAATTGTGGCTTCTATATACAGAGATGCTTCATCATCCCCTTCACCTCCTTCTCCTCCCAGCAATTGCCTCGCAGATCCCCAGGCATACATGTCCCAGAAGTCAGCTGTCACTACCAGTCCATTGGGGTCTTATGAGCCATAAATAAGCAATGTGTATAAATTGCTCTATATGTGTACCTTATTATTGAAGCTGGTGGCAAAGGCAGGAATAGAACTCATCCCATGCTGGCTCCCAGTGCTGGGCTCAGATCACGAGACACCTTTTCACAAATGCTAAGCAGTTTGCAGGAGATGCTACAGATGCTCAAAAGTTTCATGAATTCAAAACCAGGCATCTTTCTTTGAGCAAACCATGCACTGCTGCTATTTTCCCCAGCACTAGCTGGCATCCATCTCTAAGGCCTGGTTTACACACGAGTTTTGTAGCAGTGTAACTATTTTGGTTGGGGGGGAGAGTGTGAAATTTTACAGTTAGTTATCCTAGTATGTCTGCTAGTGTGGACACAGAGATATCAGTATAAAGGGGTCTATTCCTCCTCCACTATGGGAATAGCCGTACTGATATAAGCACTTTTATATGGATACAATTGAGTCCATGCTAGGGTGGTTGTACCACTTCACTCATCTGTTATAGGTAAAGCGGTACAACTGTGTGTGTAGACCAACCGGAAGGAAGAGAGACATTGCTGATCTAAAGCAGTGTTCATTAGAAGTCATGTCCAGCAGAGGGCCCTCTTGCCAGGTCCTCGTTGTGCCATTGAAAAAAATCACCCCCTCCTCTCATCTCCTAGTCAGGACCTGGGCATCCTGCAGGGAAGCCACTCAGAGACTCAGCTCCCTTCAGCTGCACAATCATCTGAATCAGCAGACACATAGCAAGGACTAAAGGGCTGTTTGCCTTTGGAATCCTCCTCAGCAGAGACAAGTGAAACAAAGCAATTGAGCCTTCTGCATTTTAAACCAGATTCTTTCAGGTTCATGTGCCATTTCCCTAGAGGTAGGTGAGCAAGGTGCAAGCGGGGGGAAAAAAGTCGACCACCTAACTCCGGTGGCAAAGGAAGATTCCCCATCCCCGCGAACTTAAATGTGAGGGTGAGAGGAACTGCAAATATCTTCTGGTCCTGCGGCTGCGTGCCACTTTCACTAGTTTGGGGTGCAGGAAGAAACGTGGCTTGACGGAGGCCAACAGCACCTTGCAGAGAGAAGCCTGCAGCATGTCATGGGCTGGTGTGTGCATTTCTAGGAGAGCAGAGCACACGTGTACATGTTAGCAAACGAAGAGCCACATCATCTCCAGAATTCCCTTCCCTCCTCCCCTTCCTCTTCTTGCTTTACAGTAACCCAGAAGACTTCTCAATCTTTTCTAGTCTGGGATTATAGTCGCAAGAGCTGCCGGCATGAAGCTTTTCCTGATTATTCTGCCTTCTCTTTTCCAAGCTGTTACAAGTAAGTGGCCGTGTTTGCAGTTCACTTTATTCAAAGTGGGGAGAAAATCAAAGTGTTTGATTATGGGTTTTGTGAATGAGGGTTTTGGGGGTAGATCTCACACGTGTTAACCGGGATGGATGGATTGCATGGAGAGTGGAATGCTAATTTCTGTCAAAATCTGCACCACTATTTGTCTCCTTATTTCCTTGCTGCATCAGTACTTCAGTTGAAGCAGAATGTCTTTGTGTCTGCATGTCTCTGTCCGTTCTGTCATTTGTTCTGGGCTTCCATGTTACCTGGAGTCTGAGAGGGAAGGAGAAACAGTGGCAAGTTACAATTCTGTTGCTTGTCCAGAAGGAAGAGAGATGTTAGATTTGAATGAGAGCAGATGGAGAAGCCATGTTAATTTCATTGTCTTAAGGTGAGCTGACAGACTGACAGACACAGGTATAAGTTTTGTGGCCCGAGTGGACAAAGAAAGGATGATAAAGGGACCCTTAAAGCTGGGTTTTAGAAAAGGATAAGGTGGCAAGTTCTTAAGTGTGCCAGTTTTACTCTGATTTGTTGTTTTGCTGTTTACCAATGACACTGCAAACTTTTCCCTGTCGCCACCTCTGGTGTGGACAGCAGAAAGATATTGAACCCAGCGAGAAGGCCAGGGTGGCTTTACCCGCCGTCCCTTCAAATCAAATAATTTTTTTATTAGCATCTCCCTTAAATGATTTGGTTTTGGAGCAGCTCAACACACCTTAACAATGAGTAACTTGCTGTTAATAGGGGGAGGGGCGTGTGTATTATATGTGCATGTTGTATATGAGTCTGAGCGTGTGTGCGCGCCAGGCAGGTACCTGCACCAAAAGGGGATACCCAGACCGCAAGGGCAGGGGTACATGCCAAGGGGCCCAAAGGGCTCTGTGTAAGAAGACGTCCCTCCGAGGGGCTGCACGTTCTGGTCCTGTATCTGTGCCACTGGTTTTGTATTTACTTGTTGCATTATTTACTTGTTGCTTAATATAACTCAAAACCAGCTCAGGGTTCTGATCTGAGGGGAAAGATTTTCTGAGGGGAAAGAAACAGGTCCCCCAAGTCACATATCTTCCTTTGCAATGTAGCGTTCTAGTGTTTGTTTTAAGTCCAGGAAAATCTGGCTAAAGGCCCAGGAGATGGAACACTGTGCTAGGGAACTGTACATTGGCATGATTATATATAGTCCTTTCTACTGTTGGAGAAACAGTAACTTAATCATCACAACATCCTGTGAACTAGGTCAGTGGCATCTCCATTCTACAAATAGAATGACTGAAGTGCAGAGAAGTCAAATGATTTGCCTGAGACCACCCCATAAGGAGAAGTCAGGGCCAGAACAGTAATTCAGGTGTGTGTGGTTCCTAGACTAGTGCTTAGTCCATTAGACCATACTTCTGTTTAACAAACACTCGTGGCTGAGTTTGTTGCTAACCCACTCCCGTTGATCCTGGCTTTGGCAATCAAGAGAGGAATGCGAGTCTCTAATGCTGAGTTTGGGGCTGACTGGGTTAGTTTATGGTTTTGAGAGGACAACACATGGAATACAGCAGTATCAGATTTGAAACCAGGCAAAGATTGGTAACTTCACCTGAGCGTCACTTTGAATGTTTGGATTGCTCAAACTCCAGACCCAAAGCCCAGCCCTCAGGGTGCAAGCCCCACATGAACCAGAACTGATAAAGGGCTCCCCCAGCCTGACACTGCCTGCAGCCTGAGACCCTGGCGTGTCATGCAGTGCTAGTGAGCTTGCCACCAAGGCAAAAATCAGGATGTGACCTCAAAAATACTGCTAGCTCTGTAGGTTGGTATAACAATCCAGGCGATAGAATTACAGCTTCAGAGTGCAAACAGATCAGTAGAGAGGCCAGGAAGGAACTGTCTAATACACAGCACTGCACAACTGGTCACATGTATTATGGGTGTTTTGCTTTCCTCCGAAACACAGAATGTATCTCCCTCCTTGCATTAGTTCTTTACCATCTCTTTCCCCTTCCTTCTCTCCATTAGTTCTTTCCTGCTTTTCCTGCATTTCTCTGATTCTTTTACCACCATCCGATTTTCGTATGCTGCATAATAATCATGTTCTTGGTCTCTGCATAGGGAAATCCCAAACTCTGTGCTGTTCATAATCCAAACCCAGATCCACAAGGGACAGCTCAGAAGCTTGGGTTTGGCTGTGAATTTGTAACTTGATACCAGCTCTTGGGAAAACCTATGTGAATAAACTCTTTGTTGTTATTTACACAGCTCCATATAGGGACAGGAGCTGTGCCACTGGGACCTGATCCAATATCCAGTGAAGTCAATGGAAAGATTCCAGTTGACTGGACTGACCCCTAAATGAACTGAAACAAAGAAATAGCAGGGACCCCTCCCCTTCCCCCCATGATGGGGAGGGATAGCTTAGTGGTTTGAGCATTGGCCTGCGAAACCCAGGGTTGTGAGTTCAATCATTGAGGGGGCCATTTAGGGGATCTGGGGCAAAAATCTGTCTGGGGATTAGTCCTGCTTTGAGCAGGGGGTTGGACTAGATGACCTCTTCAGGTCCCTTCCAACCCTGGGATTCTATGATTCTATGTGTGAGTGCAATGGAATAACACCTCACTGTGTATGTCAAGATAGGCCCTAGACGCAAAGTCCAGGGGTGGAGTGGATCCAAGATTCATATTTGGAATTGGACCCATCTTTAAATCCAGGGCAAAGAGCAGATGATATGTGGGCTTCTAGCTGCAAGGCTTCATAGGAGAGAGGAGGAGAATAAAGGGTTAAGCACTGCTTCTCTCCATTATTACTCTTTTCTTGCTCTCCCTTTCCTCTCCGGATGCACTCTCCTCCAAATCTAGCCTTATGCCAGAAATGTAAACGTGAACACATTCGCCGTATTAAGGGCTGAGTTAAATGTTACCATTTCCTCCATCGCTCCCTGGGGACCACTCTCCTCTTCCCTTTAATTACCCACTTGTCCTTTTTCTGCGCTTATTTCATTAGGTTTCATTTGCGGTTGCTCTGAAATCCGGAGCCCAGCATACAGAACCCATGTGTAGAGAAAGTGGAATTGGCTCCAGAGGGGCTCATTTGTGCTGTGGCTCCAGGCACCACCCAGGATGCAGCAAACCCTTCCTTTAACAGAGTGGGAAAGGGTTTTTCATGGGAATGACGGCCTAGGGCTGTCATAGCTCTCTGGCTCTGAATGCACGTGGAGTTCAGAGTGCTGCCTGTCAGCATCATCATGGCTCAGACCCGTAAGTCTTCACTGGGCCAAACCTCCCAGGGGCTATGGCAGGCGTTATGCCTGAGTCAGCCCTGGGTAGAAACTGAACAAGGAGCTCAGAATTTGGCCCTAGCATCACAACGCCAGCAACAGTTCCAGTCAGTGGTACATTTGTGACATTCATTAGCTGCGAAGGGCAGGCACCAGATGCCTCTACAGCTGGGGACTACAGTCAATATGAATGTCTCATGAAAGCAAATGATAGCACAACCCTCAGAGGAGGAGAAGGGGGGAATCTGTCACCTGACTGGGAAGTTCCTGCAGTTTAGACCTAAGGAGCAGATTTTTGAGCAAGGGAAAGTCTCTCTTTCTCCTCCCACTGGTTCCATGCGGATCTCTGGCCATGGGTCAGTGACATGCCCTCTGCCCCAGATCTCAGGGCCGCTGCGCCGGCGCATTTAAAAGGTTTTCCATTTGGCAGATCCTGGCAACCTGATTTCTATTTTAAATCCTTTATCTGCACTTTATCTTTGTTGGTGTTTTAATTCACGCCTGAATTGTTTGTCTTGCAGGGCACCTGTTTAGCCCTGCCTGATAGTGTCAAAGTACAGTGTGTGTGATCAGCATTAGGGGAGAAAAATGGTAACAACTGTGTTAACCCGTGATGTGACAGCGGTAGTAACAAACCCATCATGACTATGTTTTAAAAGCCTCCTTAAATAGACCAGGGAGCATCGAATCTAGCAGGCACGTCAGCTAACCCCCAACTTGTCCACATTCTGTTCAGCCTGAAGGCCCTGTCTCTGAAAGGGTTTGGGGATCTCCTAGTACTGGTCATGACATCACAGACACTGCTGTCAGCCCCCTTGAACCATTGCCAGCACCTCTTCATGTGAGTGATGCTGCGGAGGGACCAACTGAGTCCCCAGGACAGTATAGAAGAGGTGCACACGGGTCATTAGTTCCTAGCACCTCTGCAGCAGCAGATAGGGCTTGTAAAAGCCTCTATGTCTACCCAGCAACTAGACACCTGCGGCTGGCCTGTGCCAGCCAACTCGGGCTCACAGGGCTTGGGCTGCAGGGTTGCTTCGACTTCCAGGCTGGGGCTAGAAGGAAGTCAGGAAAGAATGACTCTGGTGCAGGCACCGCCTAGGGCAGATCCATTCATGTACATAGGGCTGCTGGAACTTAGAGCAGGTCCCTCACTGCTTGAGTTACGTTGGGAGCTGATTTTGCCCCCTACCAGCCCAGAATTCCAAGAGACCATTGATGGGGCCCTGGGGCAGAGCTTGTGTGTTCTGTGCCTCCTGGAGGGGCCACACACAAACGTCACCCTATATACAAGGCCAAATCCCGCTTGTCTCGCTCGTAAGAATGGTCCCATGTAAGTGAAGGGGAGACACAACATCTTGTTTTTATTTAATTTTTCACTGACATTTATTACTGCCTATGATCTGCCAACATCAAATACTTTTAATAAATAAAATTCTTTTAATGAAAAACATTAGCACACCAGAGCCACTAGAAAGAGACCCTTACATTTCCACCTGACTTACCCTTACATTTCCACCTGACTTACATTTAATTTTATTCCTACAAACAGGCAGGTGCTGCAGAAAATTAAGGGAGCAGTCCGAAATTGGGTCTGCCTTAGTCAGTGCTTTAACATGTGTTGTTTTGTATCTTGCAATAGCTTCTTGCAATATTCCCCATTTGAGACGTACATTTAACAAAGCTTTTTGTTACTGATTGTTACTAACTTCTTGAGTTTTCCAAGACT